TTTTCATTGCCAGTAATTCTTCATGTTATTTTGTTTGTTGACCAGTGTTGACTTGTCCTGCATTTTATGAGATTGCCTTTATTCATGTCTTGTTTTCTAGAGTAATTACAATTTCATTGTTTATATACTTGTGTTTTGTGTGTCTTCCCATTACCTTACCACAGACGAAAGGACAAACGTTTCTCTTTTTTTTTGTGATGTGACGAGGCCCTGCCCCCAGCTCTTGAAACAGCCGAACACCAACGCTTTACCGTCACAATAAAACAACGATGGCAACAATGAAACTCAAACTAGAGCTGGCCAAGATCGAACGCGAGCAGCAAAGAGAAGCCCTCGAGCAACAAAGGGAAGCAGCTGCCATACGAAAGGAAAAAAAAGAACGTGAAATCGCCCTCAAGGAACGTGAAGCTGCCGGAGGAAAGAAGAACAAGAACGTGAGATTGCAATACTCCGTGAGCGGGAACGAGTACAGCTTGAAACAAAACAACGCCAATTGGAGATGCAACACGAACATGACAAACAACAAGCAACTCTGGCTATGGAATGTCGTCAACGAGAATTCGCGTTGGAAACTTCACACCTCGCTCAACGTCAGCAAGCTACCGCCAATCTTCCCGTCAGTTTCAATATAACACATGCAAGTAAGTTAATGCCACCATTCGTAGAGACAGAAGTTGATGTGTTTTTTACCACCTTTGAAACCCTTGCTAATCAACTTAGTTGGCCTGCCGACCAATGGGCAACCCTTCTCAGAGTACATCTTACAGGTAGAGCTGCAGTTACACTCAGTACTTTGGCGTCTGAGAATGACTATCAGACTCTGAAACAAGCAGTGTTGGACGCCTACCTTCTCTCCACCGAAAGTTATCGAAGGAAATTCCGTGACCACCTGAAGGCAAGTACCACTACCTTTCTCGAATTTGCTAATACCAAAAGGAGATATTTTATGAAATGGCTGGAAGCAGCACATGTCTCTACCTTTGCAGAACTCGTCAACCTCATGCTAGTTGAAGAATTCTTGAGGCGTGTGCCGCCTCCTGTCCGTCTATATTTAGCAGATAAAGAAGAAACTGACTACCTAAAGTGTGCTAAGTCAGCTGACACTTACAGCCTCATCCACCGGCTGACACCAGAACCATCTTCCAGTAAGAAGTCGTGGTACAGTTACGAGAAAGTGAGTACCGATCAAGCTGGCTCACAATTGTACTGTAAGTATTGTAGACTCTATGGACATACCCTAGATAAATGTGGTAAGTCTCAATACAAAGGAAACACCGAAACACCTAAACCCAAACAGACTCCTCCTAATTCCGGTAAGCCTGTGATGAATGTTGGTGTTCATGTTAATGATCTTTCTCTTTTCAGT